GTGGCCACGTGCTCTCCTCCCGCCGGGAGCTGCTGGCCCTGCCTACCCCTGCGGAGCCCCAGCCCCAGGAGCAGAGTGGGACCTGATGGAAACTCGGCTCCTGCGCACAGACCAGGGCCCCGCGGGCAGTGGGGAGCTGCTACAGCAGTGGCTGCACGACCTCCTTCCCACAGCCCATGGGGTGGGCCCAGGGCCAGCAGCCCTGCCACACTGCTCAGCACCTTGGCCTCATCCTGCAATCCAAAGGAGCCTATTTCAGCAGCCCCAGGAGCAGAGTGGGACCTGATGGAAACTCGGCTCCTGCGCACAGACCAGGGCCCCGCGGGCAGTGGGGAGCTGCTACAGCAGTGGCTGCACGACCTCCTTCCCACAGCCCATGGGGTGGGCCCAGGGCCAGCAGCCCTGCCACACTGCTCAGCACCTTGGCCTCATCCTGCAATCCAAAGGAGCCTATTTCAGCCCTTTGAAAAGGGGAATCTGGCCCAAGGGAGACAAGACTTTGGTCAGGCACCTCCCTCCTGCCGGCCCGCAGCCTCAAACTTCTGCTCAAAACTACAAGTGTAAGACTTGCAAAGGCTTCGTGTTCAAAGGCATGAAGACTTGTGAGTCCCTGACCTCCCACAGCATTGTATCAGCAGCTCTCTGTTTATTCCCTGCTTGTTCACCCTGCTGAGGTGACCCAAGTCCACTTGTTCCCACACATCTCTGTGCAGCCCACGCTGTCCCTGGAGCAGTGGGTTCCAGGGCACACCAATGGCTCAGCAGTGGGAAAGCGGGGAGCTGTGCTTTCTGTCCAGGGGAGGAGCTGGCTTAGCTGAGTTGCCCATAGTTTTGCTTTCCCTGCCCACCTGGCACTGCCGGGAGTAGCTGGACAATGGGCCATTTGATCCATTTAACCTCCTGCGCTGAGCATCGTCCTCCCCTGCAGCAAAGCGAGCTGCCAGAGCAGACGAGTGACAGCAAAACACACCCCAAATGCTCCAACAACCCCGTGTAAGATGATGACGTGCAGTGGCCGGGCAGGGCAGAGCACACACACAACACGCAGAGATAAGCAAGAGCTCCTCGCCAGAGTGCGGTCCCTGCCCATGCCTGGGTGGGAGAGGGTGCTCCTGCCATGCCCCAGAGCGACCAGTCAAAGGGGCTTTTCCCGTGGCTGTTTGAGAAACTTTGGAACCAGCTCCCTGTGCCGGAGCCCTGAGGCAACTCTGGTTTCTGACCGGCTGGCAGGTGCCATTCAAGCCGTCCTGCTTCGGAGCCGTGGAGGGCTGGATTGCTGCTGCCAGAGCACTGCCAAAGGCAGGGTCAACTGTGCCCTGAGCCATCCGTGTCTGTGCAGCAGAAGGGGGCAGGGAGGATGACTGGGGAAGCACTGGTTCCTGCTAGTTTGGAGGCAGCGGGGTGACTGACCTCCGGAAAACACGAGTAAGGGCAGAAACCACAGAACTTGCTCCAGAGCAAAGTCCTTGCAGCTTCAGACCAAAACCTGACACCCTCCCCTGCCCCAGAAAAGGTTCTGCAGCATGTGACACTCCCAAATCTGTTGGATGGCATAAGGTGACACTGCTTTGGGGGTGCCTCACATCCCCTCAGCTCCCTCGCTGGAGCAGCTGAGATGGGCTGAGCTCTCAGACCTGGGCTGAGGGTGGTACCTTCTCTCTGGAGCACTAGGGCCCTTCCCACAGAGCGCAGGAGGACCCGGCCAGCCTCCGGAGGAGGAGGAGGCGGCCACATCACTGCAATGCCAGCCCAGGCTGGAGGGCAGTGAATAGTTTGGGCCACCCCAATCAAGCCCCTCTTCACCCTAACCAAAGGTGGCCTGGTCTGTAGCTGCAGCCGAGGCACCATCCAGGGAAGAGCTCTGACACCACGGCCTTCCACTGCGACGGTTAAGGTAATGCTGCCTTCCAGCAGCGCAGCGCTCAGCTACCAAGGAGCGGTGCCTGAGTGTGCATAAGACGAGCTGTCAAATGATATATGAACACTGACAAGTCCTCCATCGCAGCACACAAACACGTAAAGGATTTTTCTGGTTAGCTGGCTACTTGCAAAGAAATCAGTGAAATTGAGTCCAACTGTGTATTCTGCTGCGGGCTGGGTCTGTGCTGCCTTCCCCCCTCAAAGCAGAGCTGAAGCGGATGCTGTCCTGAGCAATTTAGAGTAAGCTGTCCATGACTGCAGGGATACCAGAACAGTTTGCCTGAAGTATTTATGATTAATCCATTAAAACTTTTAAACTACAGCCAAGTGTTGAGGACACACCAATAAAGCGTGTTCAAAGGATGCGTAAAGTGCTGTTATGAAACACCTGCTGAAATATTCAACGGGCCTGTGCGGCGGGAGATCGGCTACCTCCCTGCGGCCCGGTGTTGGATGCCACACGAGTGGGTCACGGTGGTGGGGGGCACTGCCCCGCCTGGCTGCTTGTGCAAGGATGGTCTGGGACTTATCCTGGGTTTGGGGTGCGTGGAAGAGCACTGAAATGAGACCATGTCCTTTCACTCCCTACTGGTAAAAGCTGGAGGTCATGTAAACCCTCAGCACATCGTGGTACAAGGACCTTTCTGCAGGAACTCCAAGAAAAAGCTGCGGTTTCCCCCCATGCAGGGGGTTATGGTACTTTACCAAATTCATTCATTTTCCAAGTACAAGGAAAACCCCCAAAACAACCATGTGGAAAGCACATTTGAGAAGCTGATGCCTCCCACTGCAGAGTTCCTCTCCCTGAGAGAGCAAGAGCCCAGAGGGCAGCTCTCTGCCACCGGCCACTCACGGGAGCCGCTGCCACCCCCAGAGGAAAGACAGTCGCCACGGAAAGATTTCTGACTTGGGAGAGCACCTGGGCAAGACTCTAAATCAGAACAACCACCTCTCCCTTAAAGTTTGCATTTAATGATAGCTTGCTTTGAAGCTTCATCAGTGCATCAGAAGTTGCAGCTCTGCCACTGTTATCAAATTACCAGTGAGACTTAAACACAGCCACACAGCGCTGACGCCAAAAAGCTTTTCTCATCAGCAGAGGATGCCCTGAAAACAGCACAGTAAGAGACAGCACGACAAAAGCCTGAGCACCTTACTCAGATCTCTTAAAATCATTTCATTTGGAAGTCTTGCACAGCACATTACTGATGCAAGCCACGCGAAGTCTTCCCAACTCACTGCAGCCAGCAGTCGTCCATTAACAAAGATCAGGTTTTCTACGGAACAGCTTTGCCACTGAAACTTCAACCCAGGATAAGATAATTAAGGGAACTGCTGGCTCTTGTCAGAAGCCTGAAGGCCTCCAAGCTAAAGCCACTCAGTTTGCTGTGGTGAGCCCTACCGGGGACTTCATTCACTGCTTGGTGTCCCGTTTTTGTCCAAGGTCAGTGTCCTGGCCTGAGCTACACAGAACCAATTCTGTTCAGTGATTTTCCTTTTCAGCTCAGTCTCTTCCAAGAGACTGCACACTCTGAAGTCAACAGCATGTTTGTGCAGAGAGTGTCTGCTACTAGAAGTGATAACGCCTGATGTTTACAGTCACTGCCAGGGATTGGGATGCAGAAAGACTGTTGCTGATACTTGCTCCCTGTAGTGACCAAGGTCGCTGCTGGATCTTGTGTAACACCCTGAGAGTTCCACAGAATAAAAAGGGACACAAGGAAGTAAAAGGTTGCACCTTCAGGGAGGAACAGACAGAACAGGTGACAAACAAGACCATTCCATCCCATATATGTTGTGTTCAGTATAAAGCTCAGGGATCATAGGGCTTAAACTCTCTTCTTCAATGGCTGGCATCTGAGGAAGACTGTCTGAGCTTCTGCCTTTGATCATGATCCTGAATTCCTGAATCTTCCTGTGTTCAGTTTCCCTCTGTCGCTGAGCCTGGAGCTTCCCTGGTGCCTCCTGCTCTGCAGCACCAGTTGGGATTGCTGTCAGGGGGGGA